GAATCTTCTTGCGATACTCAATCAGCATCCGGGGAGTATCTTGCAGCCCGACGCCAGCGTGCTCCTGTGCGACGTGCTCTTTGAAGGACTTTGCATCTGCGCAGTCGGTTGGACACAATCTACAGCAGAATTTCTGTAGGCATTCACCTGCATCCTCAGGGAAAGATCGCAGTAAGCGCTTGGCTAAGGCTTCTTGCACACCAGATACCGTGGGTGAACAGTCCAATCGTCTCGCGACTTGCTCGAGCTTCCACGTGACAGGGCGCTGTGTGTTCGTCAACAAATCAAGACACTCCATCTCGTCTGCTTCTGGCAACCAATGCTTACAGAAATCCTGCAAAGGATGAAACTCCTCCTTGCCCTTGCCCTCTTCTCTCCATCCAGGGATCGAAAACATCAGAGCACGTTCAGCTGCAGACCGCCAGAGTACACCACGCAGGGAATCGCCTTCCAAGGACAAACACTCAACTCTGTAACCAGGCAGCGGCGCAAAGTCTGCAGGATAAGCTTTCTGGAGGGTCCTCACACGCGCCTCCCTGCTGTTGAAATACTTGCCCACCCTCTTCGCCAAGTCTGCACGCTGCTTCTTCTCGGGCAACGAAGAACACCCGTGGAGATCTTGCCAGGCCAACAAGTCATCGTGCAAAGTAACCACCTCCTGGGCAATACCACTGCGGTCTAATCTCGACTCCAAAACGGTCACCGGATTGTGCCACGCACGCAAACTCTCACGACAAGCAGGGTGCAACAAGTGCGCGACCAGAAACCAAGCAAAACGAGACCAATCCTCTGCCTTCTTGACTGCTTCAAAGGTTTCCATCCACGTGCACGCTGTGCTCTCGTCCAGATGTCTTTCCCAGCCATAGCGCCGCATCAAAGTGCGCAACAAGAGTTTGTCTGCCTCATCATATCCACGACTCTTGTGCTTGTGCTTCAGTGTGCCCAAGACCGCCTGCGCAGAGAGACACGGGAAAAAAAACAAGCGAACGAACAACCAATCAAATCAGAAACTGTTTTCCGAACCAAACGTCCACAGAAACCTTGCAAAAGTCCCACGCTTTCTGCCGACCCACCTCCAAAACATCTTCTCGATCCTGGAAGCCACTGTCTGGCTCCACTGCTGGTCCAGCTTGATGACATGTGGCCAGGCTCCACAGTCGCTCTGCTACATCCACTGGATCTGCGCGATCCCAGCAATCCACCAACTGCCACCAACCTTGCGTCCAACATATTTTCGATGGAGACAGTATATATGTTTGCGACCGAACAAAAGCCAAACAAACATCAGACCCCACAACACAATTCCGGTCCACACGTGCCACGCCTCTGCGCTGTAGCGGCCGACTCTCCAACAACACAGCGAGCAAACTACTGCACTGCAATCCAGACAAACGGTCTGGCCATCTAATGCTTTGCAGTTGTTCCATCGCAGTGGTCCACGTCTCTGGCACTTCAGCTGGAAACTGAACATTCAAAGCAGAAAGGTGTTGCAAGATGGCAATGGTGGCCTGGCTCAATTGCTCCAGCTCCGCGGCCGCGCTTCCATGCCTCCTCTCAATACTTTCCAACGGAACATCTTCGCAAATACTCACAGCATAGATCGCCGCAGCTGTGTCGCAGGAAAACTCACAGATGCCTTTGCTACGAGGTCTGCTGCAGGAACGGTCCGGCAATCTGCGAGCCAGCGCCAAAAGTGATACCTCACATCATCTTCCTCCCCGGGCGCTCGCAGCGGACAGAGCGATAGAACGATGCTATCCACCAGCCTGTTCCGATGCATGTGCTCGCAAGGTAGGCCCAACTCCGAAGCTATATCCACCAAGGACGGCTCCGCGTTCCTCATATGTACACGCCTCAGACGGCCTCGGAGGGTCGGCGGTGCCTGGTCTCCCAGCTCCCGCGCCAAGCATCGCAGTGACTCCGCAGTCACAGGTTCCTCCGCAGTGACGCTTGTGCAGATACATTCCAGTTAAACGATACACTGCACCCGTCCCCTAACACAAATGCACCCATCCCCTAACACAAATTGGGTATCTTAACCAAGATTGAAAGTCATATATCTAGATGTCTTTCATGAAACCGTCCTCAACGTTCGGATGTACCGGTTCCTGTCAGGGACACGCAGCTTTCCACTATCGAGTCTAGCCA